AGCTCGCATTTTGTACATAGACACCGGAGCTGACGATGCTCCGCTACAGGTCTGATAGTTCACGGAGGAGGGCATGTGATGCTGTCACGTCAGGACGTGCGGCTGCGTCAAATTCAACTTCTTTTAGACAACGGTGTCTTACCCGTGAGCGTGGATTACAGGCTTTGCCCGGAGACTACCATCCTCAATGGGCCGCTTGTTGATGTCGCCACAGCATATGCTTGGGCAAGAAACACCCTGCCAGACCTGAAGCTAACTCAAACGAAAATTAACAACCTTCTCGATCGCGACCGCGCTGTGGTAGTCGGCTGGTCGACCGGGGGCACCTTGGCCATGTCTTTGGCCTGGACCTCGGTACCGCGTGGCATCCCAGCTCCCGATGCGATCCTTGCTTTCTATTGCCCGACTGATTATGAGGACGAATTCTGGCGGAAGCCAAATGTCCCAGACCACTCGAGTGGGTTCGCAAACGAGACCTACAATGTCATTGACGGGGTCTCTCCTGCCCCCATCACCGCATACAATGTGCCTCCAAAGATGATGGCAGCAGCGGGCTGGATAGCACCAAAAGACCCTCGCAGCCGTGTCGTGCTGCACATGAACTGGCACGGACAGACACTACCCGTCCTCTTTCGTGGCTTGCCTTCGGGCTTGGACGTGCCATCACACGCGGCGACCGCATATAATAAGCTGGAGCAACCCGCACTAGATGAGGTAGTGCGCGCAAGCCCTTATGCCCAGATTGTCAAGGGCAACTACAAGTCACCGACGCACATTGTTTTCGGCACTGGAGATGATCTGATTCCGTGGGAGCAGGCCCAGCGCACGGTGGATGCCATGAGAAATGCGGGCGTTCAGTCGGGACTTACTCTTGGCCCCGGTCAACCTCATTTGTTTGATCTCTTTCGGGATCCCGATGGGAGCCGTTGGGGTTATGTGATGGAAGGCTACAAATTCTTGTTTGAGAAAATTAGGAGAGATATCAAGTAAGACTATAGCAAACGAAGCTTCGTAGCTTTGACGTCATTATTTTGTTTTGTAGAAGAAATATGTTTCACAACCATATCTTCACGACTAATAAATTTGCTGCAATTTTGCTTCAGATGTGCTGCGAAGGAATCAAGAACATTGAACTCTCGAAGCAGGACTATGGGAGAAAGGGCTGTTTCTGCCGCCTCGCCCCTGTTCTGCTTTCCACCAGCCTTGGGGAGAAATGGCACAACTCTCCTTCTGGTGTCATCTCAGGAACATGATCCCTGACACACCTTGTTTATTGTTAGGGTCAGCCGAGCTGGCCTAGTCGGACCCGAGTTGTTCGATGAGCCGGCCAGGATAGGAGCAGCCAATAACCCGAGTGATGCAATCTGCGCCTGGTATCTAGCTACCGCATTTAATTCTCCATCGCGTAAGAATTGACCATCAGTATCATATGTCGCGAGGGCGAAAGGGGATCTCAAGCTGGCGACCATCAGCCATCCATTCACACATCCTTTACCACCGCCGCAATGTATTCAGAAGGGCTCTTTGAGAAATTCGATGATAGAGCCTGTCGTATAGTTGGATTGCTGGCGGTCGTAGGCATATTCATCTTGGTTCTGGACAATACGCGTTCGTACATCCGGTTGAGACACATCCCTGGACCACCTGCGGCAGCTCTCACCAACTTCGTCCGTCGATCGTGGGTCAACACTGGCAATGCTCACGAAATTCACACCAATTTACACAGCAAATATGGCACCGTTGTGCGGTTTGGTCCCAATGCTGTCATGGTCTCCCAGCCCGATGCGATTGAGAAGATTTACGGTTTCAAGAGAAGATTTGAGAAGGTACGCGACCCTAGCATTGGAACCCGACGTCCCGTAGAATTCTCTGACGTGTATATTGTTACAACACTAACCTCTATCGCAGTCCGAGTTCTACGACTCGATAATGCCGAGGATAAGGGGCGGCAAGATTCCAGATGTCTTCGCTACTCGAGATGAGAATATACATCGGCGAATGAGGCGCCCCGTCGCCAATCTGTACTCGCTCACAAATCTGATGTCGTTTGAGCCAGTCGTGAACTCTACTTTACAACACCTGTTCCAGCGACTAGACGAGCTATTTCTAGACAAGAAAGTTGATGTCGACCTGTTCAAATGGACGCAATATTTCATGTTCGACGTCCTTGGAGAAGTCACATTTTCAAAGGAACTAGGATGCCTCGATCAAGGTGGCGATGTTGAAGGCGTCATTGAGAACAACTGGCGCTATTTCAACATGATTGCTGCGGTATGTGAGAGTTCACGATCCTTGACATGATTCTTATGGAATGCTGTGCTAACCATTTTGCATACAATAGAACACGCAGATGCCTTGGCTTGACTACTTGTGGAGGGACAATCCTCTCATCCCCGTCTCGGCGAAAAGAAACCCGCTCGTAGAGTTCGGTGCTGCTAGAATCAGGGAGCGAATGAGTCTGATCGAGAGCGGCAAAGGCGAACTTGACCAAAAAGACTTTCTTTCCAGCTTCATCTCTGAGAATGCCAAAGACCACACTCTACCCGCAATGTATGTGCCCACACGTAGCATCTTGAGCCTCGCGCGCGGTAATAAGAAACCTGGACTGACGCAAATCGCAATAGGTTCCTCCCCACCTGGGTCAATTCCAATATCGTGGCAGGTGCAGACACGACAAGCATTCTATCTGGCGCCTTAATATACCATCTCCTCAAAAACCCACCGTCGCTCGCAAAGCTTCAAAAGGAGATCGACGATGCCACTGCCGCGGGGCGACTCTCCAAATTCGCGACTTGGAAAGAATCCAAATGTCTTACTTATTTTGACGCCTGCGTTAAAGAGGCCACAAGGATGCATCCACCATTTGCCCTCCCGTTCGAACGCGTGGTTCCTGATTGTGGACTGGAGATTGACGGGTACCATATTCCCCCGGGAACAAGAATCGGAATTGTAGGGCGACATATTTTTCTTCTTCTTTTTATGGCTTAAGTTTGAAGATACCCTGATGCTGACAATTCACTCCAACTACCCAGAACCCGTGGTCGCTGCACCGCGAAGTGTCACTCTATGGTGCCGAACCGGACCTCTGGCGACCCGAGAGATGGTTGTGTGATGAAGAGAAGCACGCCGCTATGTACAATACACTTCTGACTGTAAGTCTGACGAACAAGAAAGATCTAAATTGGAATCGCGTTGACTTTATTGGCTTCACAAGTTTGGCGCTGGTCACAGAAGCTGCCTCGGGAAACATCTCGCCTATTTTGAGATATATAAGCTCATTCCCTCGTTATTGCAACGCTACAACGTGAGTAGACTAGCATTGCCACTCATTTGAGAATGAAAATTAACTAAACCTCCCCGCACTAGATACAACTGGTGAATCAAGATGAGGAGTGGACTGTTGAGAACAAGTGGCTTGCCAAGCCTTCGGGATTCCGCGTCAAGCTTTCGACTCGTAGCTAGGGTCATGTAAATAGTTTACAAGAACTTTGCAGAGAAAACATGAATCAATTAGGCTTTAGTACAAGTAAAATGAGTCACCTGCACAGACATTGTTCGTTATTTGCACGCATTTTCTCTCAACCATAACTTGTCACGGGTGTAGTTTGCCTTGGTACCCTATTCAACTGGACGTGTATGTGGTCTGGACTGGAAAAGTATTTTTTGCATCATATGATTCTTCAAAAGAAAACTTTCGTTGGCTTCAATTGTCTAATTGAGCTCATCTGCCCGTGCGCCATCTCTCGTTCATGAAGCAGCTGTGTAAACTAGGGCGGTGCAGGTTGTCGGGTCCGGGGCCGAGTTGACTCGGACCAAGCCCTCAGTGTATGTGCATCGGCGTCAGTTGGCTGACACAGTATGTGTTGACAGGCCTTGCATCCTGCTTGGCATGTCCCAGCACTAGCTGGGGCACTTGCCTCAAAGCAACTCTTGCCAAGATTTGCCCAAAGTGGTCCTTATACTAACTCGGGTCCCGTCAACCCCAGTTACACCGGTCGCAAATAGGCCGACATCAGCTCATCTTCACCACCATATATTGCGCTGGAAAGTATTGTTACAGTAAAGGCCTTCGTGCCTCTCTGAGTTGAATGATTACTCTTTAGTCCGTGTTCATTTGTCCTAGTCCACGATGCCTGGACTTACAACCCAAACCCTAGTCCAATCTGAGAAGCCTGAGAAGCCACTCGTGGTTTGGCGGTCACTCAAGAAATGTCTTCCGCCAGCGGAAAACAAGGACATTGAATTTTGGTGGAATCTCACTGGGTATCATCTCGCAGTCATGACCGACGCGGCAGGTTACTCTACCCAACTACAATATGAAACCCTTCTCTTCCACTACCACTGGATTGTAAGCAGCTTGCTTCGTGCTCTTTCGCATCTTCTGTTACGGGTTGGACACTAATTCAACACTTGTTCAGGTCCCCAGGCTGGGTCCGGCGCCTTACCCTGATGGCACTGCGGTCTTCAAGTCTTTGGTCGCTTACGACGGCTCGCCATTTGAGTACTCGTGGAAATGGAACACCACATCCGGCGAACCCGACATTCGCTACTCCTGGGAGGCGATCAACAGCTCCTCAGGAACCGCCGCTGACCCTCTGAACCATGATCCCACGCTCGACTATATGGAGAAAGTGCCAAGCGCTCTCTCGGGCGTCGACTTCTCATGGTACCGCCACTTCCTGGCAGAGTTGTACAACCCAGACAGGTCAGTCTACGCCAAGGAGCTGGAGGACGGCGAGCCGCCAGCGACGACCCTGATGCACGCGGTTGAGTACAATAAGAAAGCCAGCTTTGGGCTCAAGTCGTATTTCCTCCCGCGGAAGCTCTTCCAGGGCGGAGACCCCGCGACGCTAGGGGAATGGGACGCCGCCATCAAGAAGTTGAATCCGGATGGCAAGCACCCGGGCAGAGACGCCCTGATGCACTTCCTGGCCAACAGTCCCGAAGGCCGTCTCATGAAGCCCAACGTCATGGGCATGGACAATGTGACGCCGTCCAAGTCGCGCCTCAAGATGTACTTCACCTCGCGCCACACCTGCTTCAACTCGGTCCGGGAGGTTATCACCATGGGCGGACTCCGAGACGTCTCCGAGGCCAGCCTGCAGGACCTGCGCTCCCTCATCCTCGTCATCCTCGGCCTGCCCGAGGACTACCCTGAGGACGCCGAGTTCGCTCCGGCGTCCGCGAGCGGCGACAACAAGTGGGACGACTTTGATGCGCTGTGTGAGGGCTTCACATACTTCTTCGACATCGCGCCCTCAAGCGGTACGCCTGACGTCAAGTTCTACCTACCCACGCGTAAATACGGCCCTGACGATTTGACTATTGCGAGGAACCTGGTCGCGTGGCTCCGGGAGCGCGGCCGTGGCGCCTACTGCAATGAGTATCTCGCCATGCTGGAGAAGCTCGCCGTCCACCGCGGGCTAGAGAACGGCAAAGGCATGCACGCGTATATCAGCTACCAGTGCACCGACAAGGGTGAGCCGGATATCAAGTCTTATATTTCTCCGGAGTTGTATCATAAAGCGAGGTACCCCTCCGCCTAGGAATGTCTACATGTAGCGAGGTTCCGAATGATGAATACGTAGTTCTCAAAGCCCGCGTTGAGTCGATTTTGCGGGTGGTGAAAGAGCGGTGCCGCGATCCTCCAACTTTACTTCATAAACTTCCTCCCATAGACACCGCGCGGGGGCATCATGCAGTGTGTATATCCACGGAAACCCGCTGAGATGGTGGTGAACGGTTGCCCAGTCGCGCAGATCTGCACGGTCGCAAGTCTCCGCGATTGCAAACAGCAGCCAGCTGTGGTCATTGACTTTTAGAACCGAGATAGCGCTCATAAAAAGAATCCACAGCAGCAGTGATACATCGCCAATTCGCGCGTCTTTGTGTTTCGAATAGAGTTCTCGAACGGCTTCCACTAGGCGAGTGCATAGAAGCGACGAACTGAAGTTATCACGACAGTAGTTGGGAAGCAAGCCGGTCATGAAAGCCAGCATAGCGAGACGTGCTGCGTCGCCGTAGAGGCCTTCCGAAGCAAGCAGGGGCTGACTGAAAGGTTCACCTTCCAAGAGACGGTATAGGAGTGATATGAGCGTTTCCGTGTAGTCCAAAGGGTTGAGCTTGGATCGTCCGTTCTTCACCCTGTCATTGAGAATGCCAGCGAAAACGATGAGATCTAGCATACTGCGGGGCAGTCCAGGGGGACAGGCAGAAAGCTGTTCTTTGACGGTGCTAGAGTCGCACAAGACAGTTGTCACTGGTACTTCCTGACTATCAAACATCGTGGGTGACCCATTTTGCATAGCCAATTCAATATCGAGTCTGCTGTTGGTGAGTATTCTGTGCTTCGAAGATTGGATGCAAGATTGTGAAGAAGCTGCTTACCTGAGTGGCTTGAGGGCCAATGGACGGTTCTCCTTCATCAATCTGGCGATACCCCCGCGTAACTCAATCATTCGATGAAGCCCTCTAAGGTGCACAAGGCCGGTGGAGTGTTGCTGGTGTATCTGTTGGTAGATGGCGAGGGTGACCACAGCAGCAATGGCGCTATCCGATATGGCTTGGGGGCCTGAAAGTTTGAGGTTGACCAGCGAATATGCCTGACATATATGATGCAAAGTCTTTGACGATGTGGTAGGCTTTCGTTCAAAGAAGTCAACGTAGGATGCCGACACCGCTAAGGTCGAGTGAAAGTCTGGGGCGGCGGTGAGTTCAGTGTAAAATGGCAATTCGCCCGCCATGAGTTACTCACAAGCTTCATCTACCAGTATGCAGTTAACCCAGATCGATTTCAATATATCGAACTTGTAGCAGAACTGGGGAGGAAATAGCGTGTCACTGATGTCTAGGAACCCTGGAAGAAACAAGCAAGTTAGAAAAGCTTCATGATAGAGGCTAGGGTGGTGACAAGGGGTTGGGTGAGCCGTACATCGATGCATGAGCCTAGTGGAGTCAGGATCGAGCTCTTGCGGGAACGATGTTAGACAGAAGTCATTCCAGAAAACCCGTCGCGGTATCTTCAGCTGACGCTTGATGGGGACATTGTTCGTTTGTTTTCGTGTCGAGGGCCGTGGTCTGCCGGCATTCTTGCCCCTCATGACATGAGACCGAAGGGCACGACGGTCCGACTTGCCTATCCCGGCCGCATTCTGTTCAATGAACACCAACGCAGGGCTCATCGTGGTCGCTCAAGCGATCTGTTCGATGTCGGTAGTGAAGATTACGGCAGGCGGGGTACTCTTCCTTGGCAATTCATGAACTCAGCTGTTGCCTGTCTCCAACGGGATGGGCTATTTTTAGACTGCGCTAACCTCATGTCGGACTTCTTACATGTTAATCCAACCTTGCTCCAATCACAAAGGTCGAAACCTCACATTACATCTTGATGGTGATACAAATTTAAGCATGTTGTCCTGCTCAATGAAAGACGCTCGTGCAGTCCAGATCTAATCATTCCTCAAGATCGACGCTATACTGAAAGTCGACGCTAGCAGGGCACGGTGCATAATGGAATCTTGAAGCAAGTTCAGGAGGAATATTTAGATCATGGCTTCACTTATATTACATGGCTAGTTCGCGATTTTCCAATGCGCTTTGATGAGGTCTGACACAAGCCATTATTTAATTTCTAGCAGTAGTGAAAATAACAAATTCAGTAAGAAATAAAAAGTCTTTGCATCCCTCGAAAACGTTCTCGATAGATCATGGCCACCCTAGCTCCAGCCCGCTGCGTTGGATGGAACTGGGTGGTATCCGTTGAAGAAGCCACGAGGATCGAACTTGTTCTTCAAGCTAGTCAAACGCTCATGGCGCCACTCATCGTATCCGTACAGAGCCGACAGAGGCTCGTCCTCGTTGGCATAGTTCTGGTAGACGTAGAGCTTGTCGTAACCGGAAGAGCTAGGCTCGGCAAACTTATCGCGCCACTCCGCGAAGAAGCTGTTCACAGCGTCGGCAACAGAGTCGTCCGTGTACGAGCCAATGGACTCAATCACGTTCTCAAAGTGGTCGCGATGGGGGAAAGCCGAGTAGTCGTCGGCAAGCGCCTTGACCCCCTGCACAGGGAAGGTCTCGATCATCATGGCCGAGCCGGCAGCGAGAGGGTTCGCTACCAGGAACGTCTCGAATGCGTCGGTGAAGTTGACCCAGGTGGCCGGGTTGAGGACCTTGGTGTTGAGGGCGCGCAGGTTGTATCGCGGTCCAGTCGCGCAGGATTGCGGGATGAGGCCGTGGACCGTCTTCGTGGGCAGCTCTTCCCAGCCCAGCATGTTCTCTTGGAGATCGACGCTGAACGAAGAGAAGAGGTCGGTATATTTTCTGCCCTCTTCCTCCGGTCCAGAGTAGACCAGGTTGACGATGACGGTGATCTTTGGAGAGGTAAGCAAGGAACGATTGTGATAAGCTTGATAATGACACCCCGACGTACCTGAGATGTCGCAGCATCCAATGCGAAGAACATGAGGACGGCCAGCCTTTCATCCAGACCTCCCGCGGTCAGCTCATTCGTGATCTCCATTACCCGTTGCACAGAATCCTTGGTGAAGACGAGGTCCGCACTGTAGTGCTTTCCTCCATTCGTCGCCGGCCAGGTCTCGTACGTTGACTCGATAACGATGCCGTAGTTTTGGCCAGACCCCCTAATTCCCCAGAAAAGATCGGAGTTGACGTTGTTGGAAGCCTCAATGATGGTTCCGTTCCACAGGGCCAAGCGGACCTTACGGAGGGCATCGCTAGTCAAGCCGTGCAGGCCCTGAAGACGACCGAGGCCACCGCCCAACATGGCGCCTGTAGAACCCACACATGGGCATGATCCCACAGCTGTTATCTCTCGAGTTAGAAAATAAGAGCATGTCATTCTCATCTTGGTGTGGCTTACTCAGTTCTCGCCCAGCGGCCGCTACGGTGTCGATGAGGTCGCTGAAACGGACACCAGTCCCCACGACCGCCGTGTTGTCGTCTTGCAGCTTGACGTAGTTGAAATTCTCCAAATTGATCAAGACAGCGTCTTGGATGGCGTGGAGAGACGGAGCATATCCATGACCTCCAGACTTAGCCAGCCAGGTCATGTTGTTACCGGACATGTACTCAAGCTATATTCACGGAATTCTATTAGTCAAAGCTTCTTGCTGTCCGAAATCGTTCCATCCACATGGAACAATACTGTGTGTGCCAACTTACAGCAAGGGAGAGCTGTTCCTCAGTTTCGGGAAGGAAAACCTCATCAAAGGTAGGGGCCTTGTAGGACGACCAACGCGTCGTCTTTTCGCCGAAGCTAGCCCAGGACTTGTCGTGTACCAGGCTAGAAACTTCCGCCGGCCACAATATTTGAGAATCGTTGCGAGGATACAATGTTGAGAAAGTCAGGGGCGTGCTTGATGCCGTCTGGATGAAGGCCAAAAGAGCCGGTAGGGCTTGAAAGATCGCGTGGCGGGCCATCTTAACTCCTATGGGAACGAATGTGCAGGAGTCTTCTTGCTGTTCAGGTTTCTTGGATAACACATCAAAAAGACTAGATTTCGAAACGAGGTCCTTGAACTTTTATATTCTTCTCACTCGTAACTGTTCACGATGGTGGCTTGCTGTGCCTCAGCCATCAGGCCCCCAATTATCAAGAATGAAGCCATTGTAGGGCCATCGTGGAGAAACTGTTCTGCTCCTGAGACGGGGCGCAGCGCTTTCCAGCGACGCCAGGCTCCTCTGTATGCCCCGAAGTGGTGATAGTCCGGATGAGAACATTGTAGGATTCTTCAGTCAGGGCTCAGCCGCTACCCTTCCCAACCCGATTGGGGATGGTTTCTCGTTTGGGGGCCTCGGTAAGGTGATAATAGGGCCCAATCTCAATCCAGAAGCCGTACCTTGCGAGATGTAATTTATTTTGGTTGAATCGAGGCTCGGAGGCGCAATCCAGAGGCATTGTGTACGTCCCTGAGGGATCACTAGTTCGAGGCAGCCGCATTCACCGATCCTTCCGTCCCGATAAGCGGATATACCAAGACCATGTGAAGCTGGTAACACAGGGCTGTGAGTACTTGAGCGCTTAAGGCGAAGCCGTGACAGCCGTTCGGGACTGAGGAGCCAGTCGCATCAGCCGGAGGCGTTTTCCGATGGGCGCCTGCCTAGAGCGAATAGCCCTCGTGTGAGACTGACCGGAACGAGAGGGAACTTCAGCTGATTCTGCAAGGGCGGCGTGGTCAGCATCGATGATCCGGACGACGAGGGGCGACAAAGGTGGGCGTTCGTCCCAAGATCCTCACCCCCCTCACCCCCCTCACCCCCGTCCTGGTCCGCCCGAAGTAGCGAATCGCTTCGCATGGCCTCTAAAAGGTGGGGCTTGTCTGGAACGAAGAGCGAAGAACATGATAACAATAGTGTCACTTGTTTCTAGTTCGAGTTCTCACAGATTTGTGGCTTACTGGGCTTCTTGATCTTTAACTCGGGCCCGAGACCCACAAATCCAACTCGGGTCCCGGGCCGCGGGGCACTAGTCTCCGGCAGAGCAGACTCCGTACTAGACCGGAACCTGTCGAATGCCTAGTCGGAAGTCAAGTGAAGCCTAATTTGCGCAATCAAACCCATCTTTATTTGGTAAACCAAGCTGTTCGAGAGGTGACATCGAAATTCCGAACACAATTCTTACGACCATCCCATTCCCCAACTTTGACGTTGATAGAATCCCTACCTTAGCAAGCCATGGGTTCAGCCACTGAGATTCCAGCATACACTAGAAAGACCGTCTTGGTCACTGGGGCAGCTGGGATACTCGGCCAAGCGACTGCAATCTCGTTTGCCGCCGCAGGAATTGCCCGTCTTGCCCTCGTTGACCACGTCGACGTTTCGGATACCCATGAAAAGGTGGTCCAAGCAGCCATCGACGTCGGTAATCCGGCACCCGCTGTACTTACTTTGACCATAGATGTCTGTGATGCCGCGAGCGTCGAAGCAGGCGTGCGAGAGGTGTGCTCGAAGTGGGATCATGTCGACACTTTTGTCAACATCGCAGCTTCTTCGCCTAGACCCGTCATCCCTCAGGGTGATGTAACTGGATTGAGAGACGTGGATACCTGGTGGAAGGTCTGGGAGGCCAACGTCAAGGGTATCAGCCTCATGGCTCGGGCTCTGCTGCCCCTTCTTTCGCGCAGCTACGAAAGGACGATCGTGAATGCGGTTCCTGTGTTCTCCGTCAATCCCGCGGCGCCTCCAAGCGACAATCAGTTGTCTGTGTTGGCCTCTACGCGGCTCTCTGAGAGTTTGATGCTCGACTACGCGCATGAGGGCGTCCTGGTTTACTCTGTAAACCCAGAAATCAATCTGGAGGGAAGAGTCCCAGAGGTCACGAGACACGGTAAGTAAAGCTAGTGACGATTCATGTTCTAAAGTATGAGCATATTCTGGGTCAATGCTGATACTTGCCAGTAATGAATGCTGGATGCGGCGATGTCATTGTCCATTTGGCCGGCAAGCGGCGCGAATGGCTGGCAGGGAGACATGTTGGGAGCGTGGAGGACTTGCTTGAGCTGCAGGCCCGGGGCGAAGACTTTGATGGCACTCCTCTTTCAAAGATGCAGCCTCCAATTGAGATAGCTCCTTTCAAAAGTGAAACTGTTGTGCCGTCTTGGACATCCAGGAGGGGAAGAGTGCCTCGCAGCAGTTACTGAGCAGTTCAGCATATCGTTATCACCGAGGACTGATGGCCTTTCTTTAATAAAGCATGCATGACTTATTGGGCAATGTCAGAAGAACTCAGAATGAACTGTAACGGTCGTTTTATCTACGAATGAATGCTGCAAATCACATGTATCTGAGGTTGTTTCTTTGGTGTTTTTATTTCTTATTGACGCAACATCAAAGGCTGATACCCGGGTACTTGAATAACACTGTGATCGTTCCCACTCTATAAATGGGTTTCTTTTCTTTTCTTGCAAAGTTATTCGACTTGATATTTTCTGAAACACACAATAGGACATCGCAAGCTCACATGATCTACTTACCTAAGGTATATAACGTTGAGTAGTCCTATTTGAAAGCAGTCAACATCTATGGACGAGCATCAGCATTCGAGGTTTAGGTTTGATAGACAATATTTGGCAGAAGAGAATGCACTCGCGTGAAAAGTAAATTAATCAGGGTATCTTATATCCCCTACAACCTAACTTCCTAAAAGCCAACATCAAATCTACGAAATCTGAGAAATACATCCAGGCTGCACCTGCTCCAGCTTGGCAACGAGTTCCTTCCATGTCGCCTTCTGCAAGCGCTGGCCCTCATCGTTACTAACCCAGTCTGGCACCCAGAACTCCTTGATCTTGCAGCCTGAAAGGAGCTTCCCATGGCCCTCCTCGCCAACCACCAGGCCGTGCAGGATGGTGCGACTGCCCACCTCTGCTGTGCGGGCCATCATAGCCCGGACCGCCTCATGCATGATCTTGGTAAATGTTCTCGCATCACGTCCCAATCCGGTGGTGCAGAGACCAGGGGCAACCATAGTAATGACCACGCCCGTACGGTTTACGGGAAACTGGGCCGCAAATTGGCGAACAGCAAATTCCTCGACGAGCTTTGTGAGAGCGTACCTGGTAATTTTGCGTCAGTACCGCCATGTTCAGTCTGTCCTTTCTTGGACCTTCCTCTGACGTACCTTGAGTCCATGTTTGCGCGTTTTTGGTCGTTGAGTCCGTCAAAGACACTCCCATTACGACTCTTGTCCATCTCCGCCTTGACGGTGTATCCCAAGACGCTGACAATGAAGACGAGCGTTGGCTTGATACTGAACTTGCGAGCGCTTTCGCTCAGCTTGGGCATCATCAGGGCTCCAAGGAACAACGTGTTGACGACATTGACGAAGATACTGCTCTCGATGCCTTCGAAAGTCTCCCACTGGTCGATCATGATTCCGGCATTGCAGACGAAGCCGTCGATCCTGTCCAGCTCCTGTGAGATCTGCTTGGCAAAGGCTTGAACGGCAGCGTAGGTTGATAGATCCAGGTGTCGCACCTTTTGCCACCAGGGTTATAATGTCAGTCTGTCTTTTCTCAGCCGTCGTTGGTTGGGGCAAATCGAGGTTACCTGTACGACACCCTTGCGTCCCGTCGACTTCTCGATATCTGCTTTGGCTGTTTCTCCAGCGCTGAGATTCCTCACTGCCAGAACGACTGTCGCGGCGGACGAAGCGACGAGGTGCCGCGCAGTCTCCAGGCCCAAGCCGGAGTTGCCTCCGGTGATGACATAGGTCTTCCCCACGCAGGAGGACTCATCCACTAGGATGGGGAGCTTCCTGTACTGCTCTGCAGTCAATCGTAGCATCACCATCTTTGCAACTAAAATTAAAAAAAACGAATCGAAGTTTTTGCAGGGTCTTTGGGGAGACAAAGAAAGTAGACTCTAGGGTAAATTCAAGAAGGGCGATGTGCACGGAGTCTTAGGTGTGCCGGAAGACACGATACTGGCGTGTTCACGACACGGCATTCATCTTTTATATCCAAGACAGGCGGCATCTTACGAAGTCTTCCAGAGACGAAGGCAGTGTCAAGGCTACGGCACGGTCTCGGAACCACAATGGATCCAACGCGCGTGGCATCATTTTGTTCAGTCAGGATGTGAGTTCAAGTTAGAAGTGGCCAATCAAAGGACCAAATCTGGATCTATACAATGTGGGGGAGTCTTAGCAGCCAATTAGATATTGCTTTCTACTCTAGGACTAGCGTCAGCGGACCGGTCCCTCCTGCCGACCTCCACCCCGAGCCAATCAGATACTGATTGCCTCTTCTGGAAGTCGGCGGGGAAGTACAAAGATCAAGTTCCTCCATCCTCGGACTTTTATCCAATGAATTGTGCTCAGATAAGATGATAGTATCCACTCCTCGGATACTTAGCTTGCGGCTCCACTGTCAGCTTATATGTATCCGTAGATTTGCACATGAAGGGGTATTGAATCCTTCCACATCGTAGAACCCTTGGAATGATACTTTAAGCTACCTAAACAAGGTAGTCTGTGTTGCGTGATCCCGCCAGCCTCAACCGAAGTACTTCGTACGGGCGATTGCAGGCCCAGCCCGCCCGGTGTATCGACAGGGAGCAGGGTCCTTTCGCCTTACCCGTCCGCCATCCATTGGCGGCTTGGCCCAAGGCTCCTCCGTGCCTGCATATGCACATTGAAGACTTTCAAGCCTTGATAGCGTGAGTACCTCGGTGTAAACAATGATTCATTGAATGCCTTACATTCTTTTCTGACCTGCGGCGCAGTCTATCCTCGTACTGCGTGTGGCCCGTAAGACCATCCTCCCTTCATGCATCCGAAGGGGTCCCTGTCTATCTAGCTTTAGACCCTTGTCCCAATATCCTCGAGAGCGCCAAGAACCAACACATTCTCAGACAGAATTTCCAACAAATTAGACCTCCTCTGTCTACATGTAGCTATCAGATTCAACTTCGCCCCTCGTCGTTCCGAGATGTCACCTGCGCCAGCCAGCTCGCCCGGAGGCGACGGCTGAGTAAGGGACATCTGGCCCGTACGTGGATCTGACATACAGCTAGCGCGGCAGGGCGTGCATACCGTGCCTTACCGGTCGGGAATCTTCGTCTGATTTATCCGTCGTCCCCCGGAGGAGTTGGACCCTTGATCTGGAAACGTGTCGCGAACTTGCGGGGTGGGCTGAGGTGACGACGAAACGAGGAAAACAACATCCACTTCACCCAGGCATGCACGAAATCCGATGGCGAAATCTATGGTCTGACAGGATCTGGATCAAATTGGGCATATTCTAAGCGGCTCTTCTGCGCTTGCTTGAGCTGCCTAATGTGACGCTGCCTTTTTGGACTCCCGTATAGGGCTAGCCGCCTGCTGCCCGTTGCGGTATCAAATCATACGAGAGGATGGCTCATCTAGAATGCTGCAGATACAACCGATTCGAGGAAGTTGAAGGATTGCATAGTGTCACACCAAGCAACTTTACTACATACCAAAAAGAAACCCCTTTTGCCTGGGATCCAGTAGAAATGGTCTAGGTAGGAATGGGTGATGGCTGGCACATACATGTAGTATTGGCGTTCGTCTCCTCTGCCCGCAAGAGGCGACCCCTGCCTATTGTCGCTACCGCTGTTGCAGAATACACCGAGCTCCAGCCACTGAACCGAAGTTCTGCATGCAGAACTGCGCTCATTTGATTCCTTCGCTTACGAGCCAGGGCGCGGCACAGTGGGGGTCCTCGAAAGTAGGCTGCGCTAGGGAACGATGGAGGCGCGTTCTAATCATCACCCTCGTTCATCATATATCTATCTAGATACCAGCTCTCATGCGGTACGTTCTTCTTCATGAGAGCGAATCAGACAGTGAACCTTTGTAGACCGTTTCAAGCTTCAGGCTGTCCTCATAGAACACTGCTGGCATCTGCTTATCTTGTCTTTCCTTCTGCATAAAATCCGGAAAACAACATGCCTCCTACAAGAGAAAGAAGATGGTGGACGAGCCAAGAAGATGACATACTCAAAAGAGAGGTGCAGGGAAAAAGTACCAACCCCATCTCCCCCCTTGTTACGCGTGCTGCCAAATCTAACAAAGATCTCCATCTTCCAGTCCGCCAAGGCGGGAGCGTCCAAAACTGGAACGACATCGCCATGTCATTACCGGGCCGTACCAACAAGGACTGCCGCAAGCGGTGGGCAAAGATCCAAGTTGATATTCGAAAAGGTGCTTGGACACAAGAAGAAGATGAGAGGTTGCAGAAGGCCGTGCTGCAACTCGGATGCAAGTTGGTTCACCCCGCGCTTCCCTATTACCCATTTCTCGGGTTTCATCAATGCTAACCTCCATCCTTGTCATAGATGGTCACAGGTAGGAGCCATGGTTCAAAGTAGAAATGCCGACCGTAAGTAGAAGTCAGCCTCGTTGGTATTCCATCATTGTTTCCCCTCAGTGCTGAGATGCATCCTTGCTGCAGAATGCGCGAAACGTTGGCAACACGTATTGGGACCCGACGTTAAGCATGTTTCCTGGACCCCCGAGGAGGACAAGAAGTTGTTGGACGCCATGGGTAAGTTTGGAAACAACTGGAAGCAGATTGGTCTTACCGAGCTGCCGGATCGTTCCACCCACGATCTACGCAACAGGCAAGTCGAAAAATCTGAGCCATCATATGCATGGATTTACGGCTGACCATGGCTCGCAGGAGTCTCATTCTCGGCCGCAGGAATCGACATGCACAATCTAATGGCTCGAATTCCTCTTCACGGTCATTACCGGAGACCAATGACGAGGAAATGGCCAACAATAGTCCTGACGTTAATGATGAGGACGAGAGTTGCGACGGTGACGGTGACGACGTATTTGATGAAGGTTCCGAGTGTGAAATGACCGACTCAAGCGGAAATCAGAAGCCTCAGCTCCTGATGGACATGAGTCTCCTGTCCGAAGAACCAGTGGATGCAACCGAACTCGGGCCCACGTCTACGATCATGCCAGGCTACCGGCACTCAGACACATTCTTGGCAGTACCTGCTTTGGAATTGCCAAGTACGACTTTCAACATGTTCGACCCCAGCTGCATAGGCACCTCAGATCACTCATCGGGGAATTCGGCTATTCAAACTCCGGACAGCGATTGGATGTCTTGGCTCAATTCGCTTGAGACTGACACCTCAGTTTCGCTGGAATCCCGGCCCCCATGGTGGGATGAAGGTCCTATTGATCAAAGTTACTTTCACGACTCCAGCTATGGAAGTTTTGATGTCAACACGGCTGGTATTTCGGATACTATTCATATCTCAAGAGCTAGGAAACGTGTTAAAGGCGAGACTTCTCCAAGAGCTTCTCTCGGGCCAGTGACTCGCGCTGAGAACACGTCGAAGGACAATGGACAGATGGGTCTTGTCACTTTGTCTCTGGACCAAGTAGACCCGATAATCGCCAACGAGATAATAGGAAGCGTCATGAAGCACAGTGCTGGTCTCAAGATCAACTGTACCGTCAATAATCACCCATAAGTCTCGAGTAGTGTATAATACGCATGTATACATATTTATAGCGCGCATACGCGCACAATCATAGTGAATAGACGAACTCATGACAACTCCCCATAGAAGGCACATTGATAGCGTAACAAATCTTCTTTGTCTCTCGATACTGCTGGAATCATGTTCCAAATCTTTGCACACATGATCCTCGACAGACATCGTCATAATTTTGGTCCAGGAATTTCAGCAAGGACCCGAGTTCTGCCACTTCTGCGCCCAGTGCAGTAGCCCAACTTGGGTCCAAGCACATCTGATTGGTTCACTCAAATGCTCTATTGTTTGTAGTGAGTGTGACAACAAATATCGAATTGTTCTTGATGGTGCCACTGGCATACCACTTCAGAATACACGCGGTGGCTGCCACAATCCAAGTTCTCCTATCCACCCATCTTCCCCTGTCATCCGGATACCTATGCGCCAATGTCGTCTTTCAGAACGCCCAAGGTGAGCCTAGAGCCCGCTTCAACGTCTGGCCTGCGAACGCTTCCCGAATTGGTCGACTTCCACGCCGAAAGCAACCCCAAGCACCTATTTTGTCTCCAAGCCGAAGCAAATGCGGCTGGAAATGGCCACAATTTTGTGCCCTTGAGCTATGAGACGCTACAACGCGCCATCATCCGCTGCCAGGCATGGCTCATGGAACAGACAACTAGTCTTCATGCACCGAAGACTGAAGCCGGTGGTAGCGTGAAGAAATGTGCTCCCGTCGCGGTGCTCATGGAGAGCCATGTTGGCTTGGTCATCTGTGTGCTCGCGTGTATGGGCATGGGTGTGCCAGTTGTCCTTCTGTCGGCGCGTCTGAGTGCGCCGTCCGCACGACATCTTATCCGCGATACGGGCGCGAAACTTGCTCTTGTGTCCCCGCGCCTGTTACCCCTAGCTTTCGAGGCGGTTGGTGCTGAGAATCAAGATGGAGAAGAGATCCCTGATGAAAGCACGACGACAATTCGCACTGTATCCGGCTACGAGTCGTTTCTTGCAGATGAGCCCGCAGAAGACCAGAGTCGTACGCTTCGCGCGGCCAATGCGGATCACTACGTTTCGGATGATGATCGCCAGGTTCTCATCCTACATTCCTCAGGGACTTCAGGTCTCCCAAAACCGATACCTTGCTCCCATCAATACTTTCTGAGCTACGCCACATGCCACAGTTTCGAATCGACCAAAGAAGCTCATGGACTGACGGTTTCTACACTACCGTTCTTTCACGTAAGTTGAAATGAGAAAAAGATTTATCCCTAGTGTCGCATCTGACCATAGAGGTAGGGGTTTGGCTTTGTATCCGTCTGCCTGTCCCTCAACATCGGCAAGACATTTTGCGCCCCTGTACCTTCCACCATCCCCAACGGTGCCAGCATCGCAGACCTCATAGAGGACTCCCAAGCGAAGGCGTTATTGACAGTACCGTCTATCTTGGAGGAAATTGAGGGCTTGCCAGATGGCAGAGGCCATGACATCCTTCGCAAGCTAGATTACGCGGGCTTCGGTGGCGGCAGACCGAAAACCTCGGTCGGTGAGAGGCTTGAACGTTCGGGCGTGAGACTCGTCGGCCAGTACGGTGCGACGGAGACTGGTCCAATGACACCCTTTTTCGTGCCCGGCAAGGAACACGACTGGCGTCGACTGCGACTGCGTGCTGATATACTCGGACCGCTTCAAGTAAAGCTTGACCTCATCGATACAGATGCAGAAGAGAGGGCGCAGACCGAATCCGAAGCAGAACGATCATACAGCTACAAGCTGAGCATGAAGCCGTTTGGGTGGCAGGAGCGGTTCGAGCTGCAGGATATCATCGTAGCACGCACGGAATGCGCCTCGGCTGATGACGTGGGACAGCTGGATTTCGTAATTGCGGGCCGCAAAGACGACTTGATATGTCTTGCTACCGGAGAGAAGGTGAGGCCAACGATATTGGAATCACTTCTCAGACAGCATGAAGACGTGAGGCACGCAACTGCTTTCGGTGAAGGACAGTTCGAACTCGGTGTCATTGTAGAGCCTGTTAGGTCCGTCGGACCCAACGATATGGCCAACTTCAAGGCGTCGATCTGGCCGGCAATTGAGGAAGCAGGCCGTCAAATGGATGCTCATGCAAGGATTACATCGTCTACCGCGATTCTCGTCGTCGCTCCCGAAGCGCTCCCGAGATCGGACAAGGGCACTGTTCTCCGGAGCGCAGTGTCAAGGAAGTTTGCCGATCAGATGGCGGCAGTCTACCGTGATCTTGAGGCAAGCATGGTTGCACCATCAATCGACCTATCCTCGCCTGCGACCAGTATCAGAAATCTCGTTACCCAGGACGTTCTGGGGTTAGACAACGGCCATGATTGGCAGGACGACGATGATTTCTTTTCACGCGGCATGGACAGCCTTCAAGCGACGAGACTACGAAGACTGCTGACGGCTTCACTGCGCGCAACGTATGCCACCGCTGAGCCTGGGACAGTCAACCTCCTCGCCACGGACATGATTAAAGATGACATCGTCTACCGCAACCCTTCTGTGAATAAGCTGGTTGAGGCACTGGTTCCCAGTTCGTCCAATACGAATGGAGTCATTACCGAAACAAAGCTTATCGAAAAGCTGGTGGACAAGTACTCCAGCAGAGGCAACCACCGAGAGCAGCGGAAATCCGTGGTATTACTCACGGGCGGCACTGGCAGTCTCGGGTCTTTTTTCGTTGGGCGGCTCCTTGCGGATGATAACGTGAGCAATGTGATTTGCTTAAATAGACCTAGGAAAGGAAGCCCTACAGAAGCTCAGAAACAGGCGGTAACGTTACGAAAAGTCTCTGTCGATAAGAACGCTTGGAAGAAGTTGGAAGTCCACGAGACAAATACTGCAGATCAGTGGCTCGGCTTGCCAGAAGCCGAGTACCTGCGTCTCACGGCTAGGGTAACTCACATCGTACACATTGCGTGGCCCATGAACTTTAAAATGGGTCTGCAGTCGTTCGAGGCTTCATTCTCAAGCTTGCTGAACCTCACTCAGCTAGCGCGTCAAGCGAGCATTCACCAGACACAGAAGCCAAAGCTGTTACTGATATCCTCAATTTCTACGGTGGGGAACTATCCGTTAATCAAGGGACAGACTTTGATCCCCGAGACGTCCGTCGAGGATCAAAGCTGGACGCTAGATCTCGGCTATGCCAAAGCCAAGCTTGTCTGCGAGAAAATCATCGAACGCACGGCACAGGACCATCCTGAGATTGAGGCGGCGGTAGTCAGAGTCGGCCAGATTGCCGGCTCTAGCACCGGCTACTGGAACGCTTCTGAGCACTTTGTAGCTGTTTGTGCTTCTTCTCAAAAGCTGGGGAAATTTCCCGACCTGCGTGGGGTAAGTCAAGATGTCAAAGAAAAGGGTGTTCTGCTAGCTTGAACATTGGGGTAATTCCATCTTGCTAATAAACTTTGCTAGACCTTGTCGTGGCTGCCGGTTGATTTAGCTGCCGAAGCCCTCAGCGAGATTCTCTTCCATCAAGAACCGCTCAGTGCAGTCTACCATCTGGAGAACCCAGTCCGGCAGAGCTGGGAGGAAGTTGTCAGACTGATGTCTAAGGAACTACGGATCAGCAGCTCGTCCATCATCCCGCTCGAGGCCTGGCTCGACCTAGTGGATGCTGCACCGGGACCAGGCAATCCTGCTGCAGGTCTCACACAATTTCTTCGAGAAGATTTCGCCAAAATGTCGTGTGGGTTTGTTGTCCTGGACACCAGCCATTCCCGCAATGTGAGTTCGACCATGGCCAAAATGACGTCGGTGGGGGAAGATCTAATCAGGGCATATGTCTCCTACTGGAAGAGTATTAAACTGTTGACCTAAATACCTTACGGGCCAGTAGCTCTAAATTTATCAATATTTAGTGTTTTAGATGAGACTAAAAGCTTTATCGTGTCTCGATCTCAGAACGCAGAAAAAGCACCAAAGCTCGACTTGGTCATCTTTTTTGGGCACTGATTGTTTACATGTTCAGCGTGATACAACTAGACCATTGGCAGACATTCCGGCTATTAGATCACGTTCTGTCTTAAGTTTCTGCTCGGCGACCTCGACATGCTACTTGCCGCTGTACTTTTGGGGCATAAATCCATAATAACATCACAAAGATAGCGTCGTAGGTAGTCAGAGCGAGGAGAGGAAGAGTTGGCAATCCTGAGTGAACCAAATATTTAAATTAGGCTTATCCTGAGTTCTGTATACATGACCCCATACCGCAACTGTTTCTAACCCTACGTGTCAGCCGATTTCAATCATCTGAGCTGCAATCTAGGCAACCGTACCTTGTGGCTTTTAAGGTGTAAGCGTGCAACCCAAATCCTTATTGCATGTGTTCAAACACTTCTCAAAGACGGCATTGCTTCCTTTCCCAAAGAAGCAATCTTTGCGGCAAAGATCGCACTATAATATGTTGGTCAGCGTTTGCGTTAAAAAGGCCGGGGACATAGCTAACGTACAGCTGTATTGGTAGTCTGGCGAATCTCGAGACTAGCAGGGCTGGCGAAGGTAACGCCTGCGAAGAGAGCAAAAATAATGGTAGACAATTGCATTTTGTAATGATATGATATCTTCGGTCAACGAAGGATTTCGTAGCTTGGTAATAGTGAAAGAGAATAAGAGAGAGAGAGTTGCTAATAACTTTGTTTAGAGACAGAACAGATCTATAACGTTCCTTGAAGCTTGAGAGAGATTGAATGCGTAACTCATCTTAATTAGGTATCCTGAGAGAATAATCCAGAAGTATTTAACTAATTACCTACATGGGGTCTTGGCAGGGGCTCTTTCGACGTTTGTCTAAGTCTGGGTGGCCTGACTTGATGTTGTGGACAGCTGACACAAACCTGACACAGTGCACGGTTGGGTCTTGGAAAGTGACGGCCAAGGATCCCGCAGAAAAATAGCATAACAGCAAAGAGATGCTCTGGTGATCAAGTGGCCTACTTTGCACGCTGTAGTGCTGTCCTGTACGTGAAAACCCCATGTTTTCACACTCCGGCACCATTGTCAAGACGAACTCTCGGCCATCACTGGTGGACCAGCACGATGGGACACTGACTCAGGTAGTTCATCCGGACAACGCGATAGTCAGCAGGGCAAGAATAAAGTTCTTGTCAAGCAATTCAATAGCTCGGTTACCAAATTTGTGAAACAAACAAGGAAGGCCTTGATATAGAGGTTCGGCCTGTCCCATCTCTCTTTACTTATGACTAGTAGGCTCAGGCCGTCCTTAGTCACGTCGGAATAGCCTCGTATAGCAACACATAGGTCCACTATCTCAACATTGCTCGTTTTCTTTTTCTTGCGATTTTAAACCTTCTCCTTTCAACACGGCCTCTTGCAATAAGAAGGCTAGATGATTGGGGTGATAGTCGAGAGCCCACATCAGGATTCGTGATATCAAAGGAGCACTGCTTTTTTGCTCTCTTCAAAGGAGCCCTTATTTCGGGCTGCTTAAACAGCTCTCGAGATTCAATAATTATTCGACTGGCAATTAATTACGCAAGCGATTGCCCACAAAAACTGTATGTGCTGTCATTCTTGAACACTCACGTACCACAACATTCATGACCCCCTCAAAACATGCGGGATCTTAGTTTCCAAGACTCGGTCTCACAATTCTCGCAGTGTGAATGCCGACTATGCGTGAGCAATATTGATTGAATAGTCAATAGTTCCTAAGAATGCAGTGAGGAGGATTGCACATCCTCTTCAACTGACATTACTCGTGCATCCACTAATTACACCGCCGCAACAAGACAGAGTTTGACCTCAAACGTCAAGAGATATTCAGTTCCGCCTGAAACCTTCCCCGGAAGCAATCAATTATCCGCTAAATATCGGAGACACCGGCAGCCCACCGGTAAACCACTAACACCTTTGCTATAATACTACTCTTTTGAGCAGAGATCAACATCCAGAGAAGAAAAGTTTCCCGCGCGTCCCAAGTATTCGTACGGTCGAGATTGGCATATAACATCTCTCACGGAATAGAGATGATCTGGTATCAGCACTCGTCGGGCAAGCTATCACGCGGTTCAACACGTGAATCCTATATTCGCTCAATGCATAGACTGCCATCTTTTCTTCGTTTTGGTTGTATTAATACCAGCTGCTTTCAATACCTTTATATACTCATTGCTATGTGTCATCCCCTGCGACAACATTTTGCCGGGTTCTACTTGCTCGTCAGGTACGAAGACAACAGCGTTCATGCTTCCTTGGTCAACGCTCAGCGGCCACGAAGCCTTAGAGCTTTCGCTGACTGCCTGCAATCCTGCCGGCGACAGCCTGGTGTCTTGCTTCGACGAGAGAGGGATTCCGGGGAGTCAAAGCGAATTGAGCAATGATGATATCAGGTGAAGAAATTCGAGAACCGTCTTCCCGAGGCTTGGCTCAGGAAGAAAAGATGCATGTTTCCACATGCTGCGTTTTACATATTGAAGTGCTTAAGTAGCATGTTTCAGTCATGAATGATCGCACAATGAACGCAACGCTTTGTTGGTGTTCGGCTATACTGAAAGTCAAACATTGAAGCGAAGTCGCAGTAATGGCCGTAAACAACTACTTCTTGGGCTTTGTATACCAAGTTGCGTTTCAATGCTGACATTACATGGTCTTGGAACACATGCTTATATGCTAGCTGAGATCGGTGTTACTGTCCCTAACATGTCACACAGGTTCCAGGGAACTCCTCTGAAACATCTTATCAGGTTATCCCATTGAATACTAGATAGCATATAAACATAGGTACTCTCACAAAGGGCGATACTTATTGCCTATCAATTCAACCAACTTTGCGAATAACTTCGAAATGTAGTAGGGCTACCCGGAGAAAAAGTAGAGACGGACATCCTGACGCTATTGTTACTGGCCGTCGATGGGATGAAATTGGACCTCATCGCATGATGATTTCATCAAGCATGGCCCGTAGAGGGTACTTCTTGTGACGGCAGATCAGAAATGACTGCAATTGTGCCAACGCTGGTAACGAGGTGTGCCAGGCTGTGTGGCGTACAACCAGCAACTCATTGGAAGAGCAACTAATCCAAATCTTGAGCTAGGCACTCCTCTTTAAAGGTCAGGCGTATTTCTCAATTGTGAGTTAGCCGTTGAAAATTCTGAAGTCCTTTCTTCTGGGCCTCATTCGTGCATGTCACCTGCCCGCCATTCAGGTCGTCTCAAGATCAGGCTGTAAGAGCCTGCAGCTTATCCCTATAAAGCCAGCTGCTTCCGCCGTGAATGTCACTTCGAGACCATAGGCAGTCGGATAGTTGCGGCTTGAGACCGCCGACTTGAGGATTGGAAGCATCATGAGTTGGAAAGCTGATCGTCTGGGTCCCGAAGTAGACGACAACATTGTCGTACAAAGTCCGTCAAGGGGCCGCAGTTTCCATCTCAATGGCCTCAACATGAGTCCGATAGACGGTTTCTCTCACGGTCACAGCATGTCGTCGATATCTCTTCGCCCATATGGCACAGAAGAACATGGCATGCTTGGCCGCGACGTATCGCGGAATCTTTTGCATAGAAGCAGCAGTCACGGCAGACCTGGCATCGCGCCCACAAGTTCCAGCACACACCTCAATCAGCTTTCTGGATATCTTCCACTGCTTGGCAAACCAACGATAAAGAAGGGCTTCTACTATTCGGACCTAGAGATGGCTATACTATCCTTCATCTGCCTCACCTTAGAAACATTGGTGGTTTTCCATGAATCCATCTCTGTCGGTAATGACCAGCTCATTGTCTTCGGATTCCTGCTCAGCACCATGCATCTATGCTTAGGCAGCGTCGCGCCGATTCTGTTCGTTCTCATGGAGGCCAGATTTGGCGACTCCGCTATCCAGAACTACGACGGGCTTCTGCGCAACAAGCCTACCGCCTCGAGACTCGGTACGTCTTGGAGAGTGGCACTCCTCCTCATGTTGGCTCTTCCCATTGCTCTCAGCGTCGCATACAAGACCTTCACTGGCGGCGAGAGTCGAATGGAGATCGACAGCTTTGACTACATCTCCAACAAGACCTACTATGGCATGTTCCAGCCGCCCGGCATACTTTTATTCGACGGCGTCTCTGGGTTTTTCAACGCAACCACGGCTTTTCGGGGAGCCACGAAACTCAGCTCGAATGGCTCTAAGCCACCTTTTCCGACGCTGCCGCGCGCATATGGCTACAATACTTTGCTGTTGAATGAAACAAGCGCCGCGGCGCTTGACACTCTCCAGGCAGATTATGTGATCGCGATACAGGAGCGTCTCGCAATAGGTGAATCATGAACCATCGCTACACCGGTGACAGGGACAGCAGCCACTCTCAATAAGATGAAAGACTCGGTTCGGCAAGCATTCGAAAGCGACTTTGTGTCTTATTGTCTGTTAAAGAGGTCGCTTCGGACATCGATATGTTCAACGGGTGGTCACTCCCCCTCATGAACCGGATATCTGACTCAGACCAATCTATACAGTATATCGGACTGGCACGAACTAATTCGAAATGTGATTCCCTTGCGAAAAGTGTCTATCTATACAACACCTACCGGCAGCAATGCAACGGAACTTGGTCAGTCACACGAGGTGGTTCCCAGCTGCTGAGCGGCCATTGCGACGATGCAATCTTGCCTTGGCCGCAACAACTACCATTCACGTTCACATAATTATCTCGCACTAGGGACTTGGTACATGCACCCCTTAATGGAAATGATAGGTCCATTCTGTGGACACAACAAAACATGTGACAGAGGCATCTAGTCCCGTTGAATGAAGCCATATATGACCACATCGGACGTTGCGATGTTATGGTCGAGGAACGCTGTCATGAAAGGCTCGGGGGCCTTCAACTCTTTCGAGTTGAACATGAGTTCCACGCCCTGGGAGTTGAAAAACGGGACCAAGATACCGTACGAAGACGTCCGAGTCAAGTACAGAGTCAATCAAGCCGAGCAGATCATATTCTACAACCGACCAACGCTACCAACGCTACAAAAATCGCCTTGGCTGTATCTGGTGCTTGCCATCCAGCCATTCATGACGGCAAGCATCCTCAGACTGACTGTCATGCTTCACTCGAAGCCTGGGCAAGAGGATCGGCCTCGTCTCGATTCTGTCGGGCATCGACAGTCGGAGCCTGAGCAGCTTGGCGGGAGCATCTCTTCTAGAGGAACTGTCGCGGCCTGTCCGGCTGACGATGTTCTCCGTTCAAACCGGCGATAAAAAACGATTCTATATCGTATAGAGGCAACTTCAGAAGGGTGGAAGCAAAATAGGAAGCTACCTGGGAAAGTTTTCTATCACTGAGGTGGGGGTTCTCAATAGGGGTAAGAGGACATTGATATTCTTCAACGATATCCTATCTTCTATTTGTATAAGGATACGTACATATGAACTGTAAATCTGTCTAGTATTTGATAGGAGAAGGCCATCATTTTTGCTCAATCAAGTTTATCAGGAGTAGGACGCATCACAAAGAAGACAACAATCATATCTGTAGCGGAAATGGGCATCTCAAATCTTCAAGTCTATGGCAACCTTGATTATAAAGCGCATGTGTCCGAGCAAGCATGCAGTTAAGAAGACCATAAACGCCGCGGATGGTGATGGCTCATCGGAACGAATACAGACCGTCGAGTCTCTGCTCAAAGTGCTAGAAACAAGAGCCAGGACAGTGCAACAACAAAAGCCAGACAAGCTGCTGACTTCAAAATCTCATCTCCCTTCTTGGTTTTCGGATCTTAACCTACAAGGCGACATCTCACCGTGCCAGAAAGCAAAGCTAGCCGGACCCAAACATTTCCTACGAAATCCCATCCACGCCAAGCCTCAAGGCGAGCTCACAAAGGCAGGCATCCGCAAAGACTCGGTCGTCTGACGTACCTGCCTTGAGTACAGTACCTAGACAAGACCAAGTTCTCGACTCTGCACCTTCCCGCCGGACAGCACCACGCCACGACCTCCCGGAGAGTAATTCGCCTGTTCAAGAAGACATCTGAATTCAGGTTCCAAAACAAGAACTCGTCGGCTGTTCGCATCCAAGCACGGCACAGCAGTAGCTGTTCGTAGGCAGTCGAATCGGAGGATTTGATCCTGAGCCCTACAACCCCTGAAGCTGAAGGAGAGCGGCCGTAGCTCTGGTCCGGCACTTCGCTTTTAGTATCCCATTGGCGAGTATGTTATCCCGACGGCCAAGTGAGCTGACCGAGATGCGGGCGTGGCAAGTTCAGGGCCTCGTCCTCTTGGACCAACATCGGGCGTTCCACGGTTCGTGGGATCGTCAACTTGGTCCTGGCAATTTCACATCAGCGTATTCGGATTGATATCACTATGGATGAGCAGATGGTGCTTCACTGCATGCTTGGAGTCCGAGGCGGCAAAGTTGCAGACGAGAAGGCTGCCGCTATAAGTCTTTTAGTCCAACCAGCAGACGTCAAAGTGCCATACCGCCAGTAGTCGAATCTTGAGCCGCAGGTACTCGCGACGAACGACAGCCAATGAAGCCAATATCGCAACAAGCCGGATCAGTGGACATCCGTGACCTTGCTGAATGATCTTCATTGCAGTTGGGATGCAGTAGGCAAAAGTCTGGGGGTGGCCGCGTTGGAGGGACCTGAACTCATTTTGAACGTCCCAAGAATCGCAGAAAGGGAAAAGGGTGTGCATCAAAAGACGGAGAGCAGGGTTTGGACGACGACCCGTCGTTTGAGCGTGGTCCCGGAATTGGTTCTTTCGCGTAACGGCAGGGCGGTACTGCAACGTCGACAACAACCCCCTAGTTCACAGCAAGGTCCCCGCCATGACCGGAGAATTTGGGCCGCCCTTTGGCCTGGGATCTGGACCGTCTCATTGGAAACCACAGATTGACGACAATGCTTTTGTCACAAGTTGAAGGATTTCACGGGACGCGTTTCGGTCTTACCCCAGAAAAGCCATAGAAATCTGAGAGGTGTTCGCCACACCAGTAGTAGCTCCTGGATCGAAAACTAGGTTGCCATATGAGGAAGCGAGCTGATGCCGTCGCCAACTTTGGAGGGTTCGGCATGCAGGCACAACACAGCCACGATATGTTAGTGAAAGGAGAACGATAGGCAGGCATTTTTGACAGGTCAAAGTCTCCTCACTAATAAAGACAGCCGGAGCAGGGATGCCATGCGCCATTCGGTGGCTTATTGACTGGTATCCGCAGGCACAACGGTTGTGCCATTTGCTGATCCACATTGAAGATCTCCTTGATTACATCCAGTCAAGTCGACGATTCGGGCACTACTTGGTTCTACTGAGTCTTTGGGTACTAGGTTTGAGTTATTCGCCGGCACTTGTGTAGTCTCCTCTCGATCCGAGCGAATGGCCAGTGTGTCGGCGCTCGAGAAATACAGAGCGCATACGGTCTTGTGACTGGGTCATGATTGATGCGTAAGAGGTTGGAGATGAGGAGCGAGAGTTGAGTTAGAAAGCGCCGGCCGAAATATTCATGTCAACGCAGTACCAAAGTTGATTCCATAATGCTTGCTGGGTTTAATCGCTGCATGTGCCGTATGCCAACCCGAACGATGCAAGTATGCGCTGTTGAGGGCAAGCCTGATGTTCCGTTCGGCGCAAGCGGTGGTCGATCAGTGTCCCGCCAATTTTGTGACAAGGGTTGTTAATTGAGGCAACAAGTAGCCAATAACGACGAGTCAACGCTCATCTCTGGCCTGTCTGACTGTAATCATTGACTCTAATCATCTAATCATCGATCCATAGAAATTTCAGCTGAGCAGCACACTCGAATTGAAGCCGTGGTGCAGGTGGTTCTATCCGGAATTGCAATGATGAAGTGCATTGTGAGAGGGACGTAACGCTGCCGCCAAGGAATCCAAGCGCGTACTCGTATTGCCGAAATGTGTGAACGGCTGGCTGCAGACGAAATGCCGACTCTCAGCCTCGATTTCCCTCCGCGATGTCTTGCTTTTTTTCTTTGCCGTTGCCGCTCCTGCGAACTGAGGAACGGCCGTGGCATTAAAGGCATCCAACGACCAGCGCTGACAGATTTGATAACGGCTGTCGGGTGCATTGGACGCGCGAGACCGTGTCTTGGCTAGGCAGCTCGTGGCGTTGTCCCCGAAGAAGCCGCCCGTTTCTGGGTCTTTGGGATGAGCGTTAGGAGGGCAGCTAATATCGACGGGGATCCATGATTGTGGCGCGGCCTGTCGCCCTAAGAGGTTACGTTCAGTGTCCGTGAGTAGCATTCGGTGCGTCATCCATCAACAAGGTCAACTTTTCAATAGAGATTGGCCAGGGGGCAAGGTAGCTCTCAGCAAAACGAGTTCGCATGCCCTTGGGAGCGGGTTGCTCCCGGGAGAAGTGGGGGAAACAACGGTGTTCTGGGCTTCGAGGCTTGAGATATGAGCCGGCCGCACTGCCAGCTCCAAATTCTCAAGGATAAGACGATTGGTCATCCAAAGATTTCGAGAGCAATTGGAAGACAAGTCGGAGTGCGGTGCGGCGTTGAAAAGTTTGCAAGGGCCGGGACAGCTGAAGAGTTTACACCCCGAGAGAAAAGTTGGCCCCTGAGTCTTCCCGTCGCGGAGCTCATCAACGACTAGCCAAGGCTAGCGTCCTGTCTGTCTCTCCAAAAATCGAGCCGCCCGAGTCAAGACGGAGAGGGAGGTGGCACAGACGATGATTTGACGGGTGCCAATATGACGAATTGCTGATGACAAGACCAGGACGGCTGAAGGATTGCTACTAAAAGCCTGGGACCACGGAGGGCTTTCCCTAGCCTAGCGGCGAAGCCAGGTGCCAGTGGAGGGCAGGCCAGGATGGCGACCAGCAGTCCCGGGGGGGCATATCAAGCTGTGTCTAACTTTGGTGCTAAGGCGACTCGGGTGCAGGGATGCGCGGCACACCTTTTCAAGCACTGCACCACAACTTGGCATCTTGGATGGTCTCTTGCTAATTTCCCTTCCAAGGTTGAGATGCAGCACACATGGCCGGGAAAACAACCGAATCCTGATGTTGCTTTGGGGCCGCAAAATGCCTGCATGTCAGCCTGCTCTCCCATCCGAGGTGTCCTTGGGCCTTTTGGTCGCGAGGTATCCGTAGATTGTATCTATGACAATTGCCATCCTGTTGATGACCCCTGAAAGAGGAAACGGCTAAAGGCCATCTTTGCAATGCTCGTCAGGCCTGGGAATCTGTCCGGAGCGCATGCAGGGGAGCTTCAAAAGACATTTGATTTGCAATCCCGCGGCCGGGCTCGCCAGGCACGCCGACAGCCAGGGGTATGATTGACAAATGGGGCAGCC